AGGATGGCTCGTACTACAAGTTGGACTCGTATACAGCATCACGTTGTGGCAAGAACACGTACAACACGAAGACGTATGATTTGTCAGCATATGCATCATCCCACACCGATGTCAAGGTGAAGCTGTACATTGACAGTGGCTTCGCGGGCTCAGGCGAGTACTTTGTTATCGATTACGTCAAGATCACGTTTGATGACAATGATTGTTCAACAACGACGACTACCACTACTACGGCCACGACGACCACGACGACCACCACGACCACGACGACCACGACGACCACCACGACAACACCGTCGGAGTGTACGCAAACGGTGCATGACGCGTTTTCACAAAATAGTTACAGCAACAACGACGGCAGCAAGCCCTGGGCCGCGTCCTGGGTTGAGACCGACCCGGGCAACGGCGGGGCATCCTCTGGTAACGTGTTTGTCAACAACGGCGCGCTCGTATTGACCCAGCAGTCTTACAACGGCTATACCAAGGTTACGCGGGAGGTCGATCTCAGTGGGACTCGGGGAGCACAGTTGGAGATCAAATTTTACTTGGCCGGTGAATTAGAGAGCTCAGATGAGGCATCTCTATGGATTATTAAGGATGGCTCGTACTACAAGTTGGACTCGTATACAGCATCACGTTGTGGCAAGAACACGTACAACACGAAGACGTATGATTTGTCAGCATATGCATCATCCCACACCGTCGTTAAGCTGTACATTGACAGTGGCTTCGCGGGCCCAGGCGAGTACTTTGTTATCGATTACGTCAAGATCACGTTTGATGACTGTGAGCAGTCGTGTCAAGACCTACAGTACGCCGACAACTTTGCATCTGGCGGCTATTCAGGCAACTCTGGAAGCATAGCTTTTGGTAGCAACTGGGTCGAAGCAGATGCAGGCGGAAGCGGTGCGGCAGGCGGAAACGCGCTTATCAGTGGTGGGCAACTCTATTTGAAGGGTAGTGGTAACGGATACGGTGAAACCCAGGTTTATCGCGCCATTTCTTTGGAGCACGCGTCTGCAGCAACGTTACGCGTTTCGTTCAAGTTTGTTGGTGACGTGGAGAATGTTGACGTGGCGTACATTGGCGCCATGACTGCGTCCGGTGCCATGGTGGGGGAGGAGTTTGTGGCAACAGACTATAAGAGCTTGACGGAACGCGTGTATGACCTGTCAGCACTGCTGGGTCAAAGAGACGTGTGGGTTGGTTTTGGTGTCAAAGCAAACTTACATGCATCGGATGAATATCTAATGATCGAGCAAGTCTCTGTGGAATATCAAACGTGTGCTTCAACGACGACCACGACGACCACGACGACCACGACGACCACGACGACCACGACAACACCCTGCAGCGTGTCTCAAACCGTGCATGACGCATTTTCACAAAACAGTTACAGCAACAACGACGGAAGCAAGCCTTGGGCTGCGTCCTGGGTTGAGACCGATGCAGGCAATGGTGGTGCATCCTCTGGTAACGTGTTCATCTACAACGGCGCGCTCGTATTGACCCGGCAGTTCTATGGAGGCTCAACCAAGGTTACGCGGGAGGTCGATCTCAGTGGGACTCGGGGAGCACAGTTGGAGATCAAATTTTACCTGGCCGGTGAATTAGAGAGCTCAGATGAGGCATCTCTATGGATTATTAAGGATGGCTCGCACTACAAGTTGGACTCGTATACAGCATCACGTTGTGGCAAGAACACGTACAACACGAAGACGTATGATTTGTCAGCATATGCATCATCCCACACCGATGTCAAGGTGAAGCTGTACATTGACAGTGGCTTCGCGGGCTCAGGCGAGTACTTTGTTATCGATTACGTCAAGATCACGTTTGATGACAATGATTGTTCAACAACGACGACTACCACTACTACGGCCACGACGACCACGACGACCACCACGACCACGACGACCACGACGACCACCACGACAACACCCTGCAGCGTGTCTCAAACCGTGCATGACGCATTTTCACAAAATAGTTACAGCAACAACGACGGCAGCAAGCCCTGGGCCGCGTCCTGGGTTGAGACCGACCCGGGCAACGGCGGGGCATCCTCTGGTAACGTGTTTGTCAACAACGGCGCGCTCGTATTGACCCAGCAGTCTTACAACGGCTATACCAAGGTTACGCGGGAGGTCGATCTCAGTGGGACTCGGGGAGCACAGTTGGAGATCAAATTTTACTTGGCCGGTGAATTAGAGAGCTCAGATGAGGCATCTCTATGGATTATTAAGGATGGCTCGTACTACAAGTTGGACTCGTATACAGCATCACGTTGTGGCAAGAACACGTACAACACGAAGACGTATGATTTGTCAGCATATGCATCATCCCACACCGTCGTTAAGCTGTACATTGACAGTGGCTTCGCGGGCCCAGGCGAGTACTTTGTTATCGATTACGTCAAGATCACGTTTGATGACAATGATTGTTCAACAACCACGACGACCACGACGACCACGACGACCACGACGGCCACGACGACCACGACGACCACGACGACCACGACACGAACACCAGATCAATCTTGCCCAGTGATTCCATACAGTATCACACAACAGGGCCTGACGCTCCCTGCAGGTGATACCTTTAGCGATGGCGATCATGTGAACATTCGACTTCAGTCGGGCGCTTCAAGAAATATCCACTTTGAAGGCAAATGCCAATATTATGACATGTATGAGTGTGCAGGATCGAAGCACGACATCGCCTCGCATATCGGAAGCAATTTCATACCGTGGACATTGTTCAACTTGGCGGCAGGAGACTGCATTACGTGGATCCAAGTAGCAGGATACAACGAGCATTACGGTGAATGCAATGAGCCACCCTATTGTGTCACACCAACTACCACTACTACGACCACGACGACCACGACGACCACGACGACCACGACGACCACGACGACCACGACACGAACACCAGATCAATCTTGCCCAGTGATTCCATACAGTATCACACAACAGGGCCTGACGCTCCCTGCAGGTGATACCTTTAGCGATGGCGATCATGTGAACATTCGACTTCAGTCGGGCGCTTCAAGAAATATCCACTTTGAAGGCAAATGCCAATATTATGACATGTATGAGTGTGCAGGATCGAAGCACGACATCGCCTCGCATATCGGAAGCAATTTCATACCGTGGACATTGTTCAACTTGGCGGCAGGAGACTGCATTACGTGGATCCAAGTAGCAGGATACAACGAGCATTACGGTGAATGCAATGAGCCACCCTATTGTGTCACACCAACTACCACTACTACGACCACGACGACCACGACGACCACGACGACCACGACGACCACGACGACCACGACACGAACACCAGATCAATCTTGCCCAGTGATTCCATACAGTATCACACAACAGGGCCTGACGCTCCCTGCAGGTGATACCTTTAGCGATGGCGATCATGTGAACATTCGACTTCAGTCGGGCGCTTCAAGAAATATCCACTTTGAAGGCAAATGCCAATATTATGACATGTATGAGTGTGCAGGATCGAAGCACGACATCGCCTCGCATATCGGAAGCAATTTCATACCGTGGACATTGTTCAACTTGGCGGCAGGAGACTGCATTACGTGGATCCAAGTAGCAGGATACAACGAGCATTACGGTGAATGCAATGAGCCACCCTATTGTGTCACACCAACTACCACTACTACGACCACGACGACCACGACGACCACGACGACCACGACGACCACGACGACCACGACACGAACACCAGATCAATCTTGCCCAGTGATTCCATACAGTACACACAACAGGGC